CCACCGGCTCCCAGCACCGGGCACCGGCATGGCAGGGTGCCGGGCCAGCCTCAATGAGGCCTTTGTTGGGGAAAGTAGGCGGGGGAGGCTCCAGCCCAGGTTTTTCCATGTTCCTCTTGCTCGAGTTAATTAAAGTGGAAACTGAAGCCGAGCGCTGACACGGGCACTGAGCGGAGCTGGGGCTGGGGCCAGCGAGGAGGATGCAGACCCCTCATCTGTCCTGGAGGGACATGGCCCCGTAGTGCAGGAAGGGGGGAGTCAGCTCCAGAAGGAGCCAGGTCCTGTCCTGAGCCCAGGCAGCTGCGAGTGCCGAGCTCCGGGCAGGAGCAGGAGCAGGAGCAGGAGCAGCATCCCCTGGAATGACTCCAGTGCAGCCCAGGACTCCGAAGAGCCCGGCCACTGCAGACCCTGGGGGACACCCAGACAGGACCCCCATCCAGCCCATGCTCATGGAGATGAGGAAAACGAAGCTGCCGCGGGCGGCCACCACGCTCCCACCGCCAGGCACTGCCAGAGCCGTGCTCAGCTCCTTGGCCAGCAGCCGCCATCCATCAGCCTGAGCAGCTTTCGTAATATTTTCATTGCATCACGGCCGGCCCCACGGCCGAGCTGGAACCGCTTCATAATCCCCTCTGCTTTTAACACACGCTCAGGGACCCGGCTCAGCCCAGATGAGAACCTGAGCCCTGCTGCAGCGGGATGAATGGGACCTTTCATACCCGAGGAGGAAAACAGCAACCGAAGCCCCTGCACGGCCCAGCAGCACGCCCGCTGCCCTGCCCAGCACCACAGCCACCATCAGACCCCCTGGCCCCCCACTCCCCGCCGAGGAGCCCAGAGGCTTCACTGCACCCCACAAACCTGCAAGGGCATGGGGGAAGCCAAAATGGGCTACCAACAGGGGCAGGGAGGGAGTCACAGGCGGCCGCGGCTCTCCCAGCTCAGCAAGGCAGGACCCTGCTAGGCACGGTTGTGCCAGCGCGGCCCCCACCCTGCCACCCCCAGCAGCAGGCAGAACACCTGGCATGAGGCCACCTCTCCCAGGTTGCCTGGAGCACGGCCTGGGGGAGCCAAGCTCGTCCCCCAAGCCTGTGCCAGGACTGCTGGGCTCACCCAGCACCATTCCTTCCGCCCCACCGAAGCGGCAGCCGGTCCCGACGCTCTCCCCACCAAGTGCCAGCAGCGGGGAGCAGAGCCCAATCCAGCCCCAGCCCTGCCGGAGGAGCTGCTCATCCAGGGACTGGGCAGCAGGGAGGGCAAGGCAGGCAGGGCTGCCAGCAGAGCCCTGCCGCCCCGCACGGCACGCAGGGACACCGTGTCCTTTCCTAGCAGCACCTCGCATAGAGCAGAGGAGGACACTGGGGATGGGGGCACGGGGCTGGGTGAGGAGCTGGGTGGCAGCAGTCCAGCCCCATCCCACGAGCCAGGAGCTGGCTGCCAGGAAGCCCGGCATAGCCAACAGTGGGAGCCGAGGCCAGCATGGGAGGAGGGAGGCACGGTGGCCGAGGACGGGGTCTCGCCTCTGCAGCAGGAGGCTCTCCCCAGCGTGAGGAAGCGCCAGCGCTCGGCGCAGAGTCCGCAGCCCTTGCAGGGCCCCAGCTCCGCGACGGCTGGGCAGAGGGTCCCGGTGGCAGCTTGTGAAAGCCCCGTTGTGTGGGGCTGAGAGTCGTGCCTGGAAAGGGGGGGTACTCACGCACCGGAGGGACGTTCATAGCAACGCCGTGGCAGGGCACAGAGCAGGCGCTGGAGACCACCCAGCGCCCTCCCTCCGGCCATGGCCACAGCACCTCCAGCTGCAGGGAGGTCCCGAGCCCCCTGGCAGAGGAGCAGGCACTCTCG